ACTGGAGGAAAATTCTACATACATTTATTCCATTTAGATTTTTATGACTTATAATTGTTCTTTAGAGCCTGTATTTGTTCATATTTGCTCTATTTTCATTAACAAAAGTCCTATATAACACTGAGAGACAGTAAAAAACTGGTTCACGCTCTGTACTCAGAACCTCATTTAGCTTAATTATCAAGAACATGTAACAATATTAAGTTTCATCCTATATTGTGACTGACAAAAAAATCTTAACCTTTCCAAAAGGGTTAACAAATTTCTTAAAAAAAAAAAAGAAAAAAAGAATTTCACAGTGAATTCATAACCTTTCAGTGATTGATGTCATGAGGTCTGTCTTGGAGGACAGCATAAGGATGACCTAGAATGGAATACAGCATTAAGTGAAATTACAGCCACTTGTGTAGGTGCTAATGGCACCTAGTCAGCCCAAGGAATACCAACACCTACAAGGCTGGGCAGCACAGAGAATTCTTCAGGGACAGGGAGGCCAAAACTTCTCCATGAGGTAATTAATGTCTAAAAAGTACCGGGAGAGGAAGAGAGAGAAAAAGAACATTTCGATCTGAGTAATTCCCAAAGGTGGGTCTGAGCTCAATGAGAAAATACATCTTTAATATGTCAGAGCGTTCCCTGGAATAAATCCTGCAGAAATATATTGGTATTAAAGAACAGACTTCTACCAGGCTGAAATGGAGTAGCTGATGGTTTCCTGGGCCGTAACATGTTGAGCTGTACACTCCACTCATCTGGCAGGCCATACTGTAATCTGATATGGCAGTGGTTTATATGGAAGAGAAATTAGCCAGGAACTCAGCACTTGAAACTCACTTATCCCAGGAAAACAACAATTAACTTTGCTTCAAAGCTGATGATGTCTAGAAAGTCATTGAGAAAATCTTGAACTTCAGGTTTGGAAAGCTTTACTTTAAATCTGTTTCTTCAGAAGTTATGTACTGACTTCCCAAAAGTAAGTTCACAGATTAATTAGGAAAGCACAATCTTGCTTTACTAAAAGCCAAAAGACAACAAAATGTAGTTTTCATTATGGCACAGTATATTACCGTCAACAGATGAGATGAAAAAACTTCAGCCACCACACCCTTAAGATTCAGTGACACCATGTCAAGAGGAAATTCTTCTGTAATTTAAGACCAGATGTACTGGGCTCCACTTGGGTTTTCAGGTTTTTGAATGTTGACATGGACTGTGTGTACATGCTCATAAAAAAGAGTTAACCAGAACAGACTGTTTCAGTTGGGAGGGACCTAAAACCATCATCCACATCAGCCTGGCCAATTCAGGGCTGACCAACACTTAAAGTGTGTTGTCAAGGGCATTGTCCAAATGCCTCCTAAACACTTGGCAGCCTTGGGGCATTGAGGTTGATATTTAATGAGTTCAGAACACTCTTTTGATGAGAAGCTATTTGGCTATCTATCCACTTCACTGAGCTTTGCCTGGATCCCAGTAAGAGCATTATTGAACACAGCGCTGCATATTTTTTTAGATTGAAAATTCAGTTCTTTCTATCTAGAAGGATAGTTTTTTCCAACAAGATATATAATCTCAAGAAACAAACAACATATACCTGCATCTACAATTCATGAATTAGGAATATATACTAAATTATCTAAATATGGGTATGGAGAAATTATCTAAATATGGAACCAGTAAGTTTACTTGCTTTTTCCAGTTGTTCATTAAAGCACTGAAATATATTTTACACTGCTTCTGGACATATAGCTTGTCAGCAGCAATTAGAGATTGATGGATAGCTGCTGCAACACAGATCCAACAGTACACAAATCCATACCACAGATATTCTGAAAATTTATCCTTAAAACTCTGGAAGATGCTAGGGTGACAGAACAAGAAAATACGCAGACTTCTTTCCAGATGTCAACTTGAAGTTCCCATTCAAATATAAAGAAGTTTTAGGAAATGTCACCTTTCTAGGAGTAGACAGCACATCAACTCTTTTTCACAATAGCCAACCTTTAGCTACTTGAAGCAAAAATTTTCTACTCCAGCCCAACAGTTTGGGGTTTTTTTATCCTGCTTGTAGACCAGACACTCGTTAACCTCTCAGATCTCTGGAGAGTTGTGGTTTAAGGGAACCCGGGAGGAAAAGACAAATTTGGAAAGCCATTTATCCATCTCACTAGAATTGAGACATTATGGTTTTCATTCTTCCCCCACTCCCCAAAATACCAAATTTCCATCATCAGAGCTCTCTGAATAAACGAACATTTTGTTACTGGACTCAGGAAGAAAGAAACCACATGCCTGTTAGGGACAGAGAGAGGAGGAGTGGACTGTGTGCTTTGGGAGCGTGTTTATTTGACTGGATTGCAGACGGTCAACCAAAGAACATGCAGATCATATATTTTTAAGCATTTCATAACGTCTTATTATTAATTCCAGCCAAAACCACCAAGACCAAAATTATCTGCAATTGGTGCTTGTGTGTCCTGACCCCAAAGCCAACAATGGTTGCATAAAAGAAAGAAAAAAAAAAAATCTATGGTCTTCTCAGGTTTACTTTTTTTTTAATCGATTAGAAGGCAGTGCCCTGTAGAGTCTGTAGAGAAGACAGGTCTCCATTAACTAACAAATTGAAATGTGGTCCTGGGTAAATTTTACTTCCAGGAAACCAAAACGCTGCAGTCCTTGAGAGAGGGAGGCTATAAGCAGAGGGCTCTTCTAAAGGAAGGAGTTTTTATTGAACCTGTCACTTGTCATTAAACACTCCATATTTTACCTTAGCCTGATATTTTCATTAGAGCATACAGACCTTTTTCATCTGTGAATGAAAGCATTCCCTTCAGCCTTGTGCTGAATACGAGGAAAGGCTCACTAAAAATCGAGCCCACCCAAACAGGACAACAAAGGCAGGAAAGGCACTAGAGAAAACCAACTTTAATACTGTCATAACGTGTACATTTCAATGTTGACTATCACATCACACTTGAATCTTAAACGTTTTCATGCGTTTAATAGTGTCTATTTTTAATCTAAAAAATACTTGCACATAATTATATAGGAAGCAACAGACACCAGTGCAGAATAAAACACAACATAAGCAAAGTAGAAAAAACTATGCACTGCTGTATAGAGATCTCAGATCAGAAAACCTGAAGGTAAAAAGGTAAAGATATCCACGCTATTCATAGTTTTATATCTATGATTTCTCTACTGCTTAAAACACTTTTTAAGTAAAGAATTGGGTACTGCAAGGACCGCCATACATTCTTAAAGAATTCTGATATAAAGCAGTGCCATTTTTGCCTCTCTGCCCATTGCTGTGTGTAGTATTACAAACACTTTACATAACTTACTGTTTCTAACAAAGAAAGAGTGGTTTTAGTATGCAAAGAGGAGCTGGGGGAAAATTTCAGGCTTTTTTCAGTGCGTTACATATGTGAAGAAGAGAGAAAAATGAAAAGGGAATGAGCAATTGGGGGGAAAAAAAGCCAGAAAAGAAAGCCATACCTTTTAAAATCTGAAAGTGCTACATAAAAACAAAGATGATGGCCTCGTGGAATAGTGTCATTTGATAAATACACCATCCACGTAACTGCAAGGCAAGTGTCAAGTACCAGCTATCTTTTCAAACTTTAGATATAGATTTACTCAAATGCAGATTAGAAACGTAACCAAATATTGTATTAGTTTTAGGAATTTTTAAAGACATTTCACTAATACCAGGAGGACTGTGTTATTTAAACTTAGCTGCCACATAACGAGAGCCTTGTGATTTGCCATAGCATTACAGGCACAAAACCCATTAGCAGATGTAGAAATCCCACATCCCCGCCTTTTATAAAGGTCTGCAGTTATGAAATCATTTTCATACACTTGGAACTTAACTATTTCAGTTCCCAGGACTGGACTTGAGGGGCAAAAACCACAAAATGGTGCATCTGAGAGTATTCCACATGGACACGTGTTTCTGTGGCTCTTTGAAAGCTTTGAGTTGAAAACATCTCCCCAGAATCCCACAGAACAGAGTCAAGAAGTATCTGTTTCAATTAAGGAGAGGATTTATCTTTGCTAGTGAACTCTTAGGATGTATTCTGTGTCTTCATTGTACAGGTATCACAAAGGAAACTGGAACAACACCAGGAAAAAGGAAAGCACCTAGGGAAGGCGCTCTTTAAACATTTAAAAACTAATTTTAAAAGACCTAATTTTAAAAGTACAGGGTACTGTTTTCATGTTTATTTTCATTCATCAAAAAGAAAGTTATTTTTGTAAATGAATCACAGGCAAAATATCTGTCATCCCCACACTTAGCATCGTGGTATCTTTGCTTTACTTCATGCCAACAGTTTAGCATTTTTATGACAGCAACTGAAAACTTACTGTTTGGTAAACCATCTACAGCTAATCTCAACACAGAGGACACTGAGAAATGTTTGACTTGCTTTCATACCAGTGACTTTCTTATACCTAGGCAGATTTGACGTAACCAGATAATTCTGTGGGGCAGTGGCATGATATAACTTCAGAGCTAATGCAAACTGACTGGTTTGCATATTTGCACACCCAGAATTCATGGGGTAGACTAAACAAGGAAACATGGTCCTCCAGTAATCCCACAACAATTCCAGTTTACTCTAAGAATACTTACTTGGTTATCTTTCATTTACTGAAGCAAAGGCAGCACTAAAAGGTAAAACCAGCTGGGAAAATACACAAAACAGCTAAAGAAAAAGGCTGTTAGAAAAGCAGAGAAGAAAGATATGCCACACCAATCTCAACACAGAACAGATAAAATTATTTCAGCAATGCACTTCATAACCGAGTTGACAGTTAAAACTATTTTTTCCTCTTATGAAAACAGAGTAAGATATGAAGGCAACTGAGAGAGGATTTGAAATAATCAGCAACAAATTTCTTAGGTAACAGCTATGAAAACAGATCAGGAAGTACAGCCAGGTAGCTAAGCCTGGCTGATTGGCCAAATTGCTTGAATTCAATTCCCACGTTACCTGAAGCTGCTGGGAGCTGTCATTAAGATTATCCTCTCGTCTCCTGGCCTCCTCCAGCATCTGTGCACTCTTCTTTTTCTCCACTTGTTCTTTGTGCTTCAGATTTGCTACTTTCTTATTTTGATCTTTAACTTGCCTGTGAAAAAGAAAAGAGCACTCAGACTGTGTTCTGGACCACACTTGCCATGGTCCCAGCGCTGGGCAGCTGGAGCAGGGAAGAGTGGAACCTCCAAATACCATCACTTCATTTGCAGAAGGTCACCAACAACAAACTCATCCTCAAGCATTACCCTCAACTGGTAATTCAGCCAAAAAACCCAACAACAACAACAACAACAAGAAGCTTTGTTTTACTCATTACTATTAACCTAAACTAGGAAATTTCTGAAACAAAACCCTTAATTATTATTCGGTATAAACTATTAATCAAAAGATGCACCTGTTCCCTTGTGACTATGTTGCAGAAAACTTTTCACGTACATATAGAAACACAAACATCTAATAGCCTATTTTGCTTTGGGTACCGCTATGTCTAACGTGAGGAAAATCAGAGGATCAAAAGGAAAAACTACTGAAACATGACTTGAATATAGAGGACTACCTACATGAACCAGGCAGAAGTAAAACTAGGCATGAACCAGAAGTAAAACAACTTCTTCTCAACCTCAAGTTTTACTTGTTTTCTAGATATCTGGAGGCATTTCATATCCTTTCTTTTTACGGAAACAAGACACAGCAAGTAAGAACAAAGTATTTCAGAAAGCGTGCATAATTTCCTTTTCACTTGCATCTACGAACTATTTTTGATGATCCTGGCAACTACCATTGCCTGCAGACAGGGTTTGGCCTTCCAGGGCATTAAGACACATGGAGTATTGAATCTAATTACAGACCCTTTAATCTCAGCCTCCTGACCACAGAGAACTTAAGTCTAAACTTTTAGTCCAATCAAAACAAAACAGGCAAGCTTTGCTTCCTCAGCCCTTTTCTCTGTAATTATATCTAGAGTTTGGATTTTGGAATAAAAGACAGATTCTTTGGTTGCAAGATTTCCCCAAAACATCAAGCAAGTAGTAGAGACATCTCTTTAATTTACTGTTTAGAAAATAGAATGATACACCAGCTTCATATCTGGTATGTGATCCACACAGAGAGAGAAGAATGTTTCTTCTGTATTTCAGAAATACTTTTAGAACAGATCACAAATAACCCTACTTTAATATATTCTTCAAAACTCATAACAAAAGTATGAACAAGACCATATCTCTTTGCATTCTGTATATGTTCAAATTATATGGCATATGGTTAGTTAGTGCTTCGAGTTATTCCAAAAATACGTATGTTCAACCCTGGGCTCTGCTTTTTCCCACATAAGCCAACTGAGGCTGGGAAAACTGCAAAGGCAGCAACTTTTCCTTGGTGTTAAACAAACTTCTATTAGGATGAAATAGTGCTGATGGCCTCTGGAGACCAATGAAAAATGGAAAGTCCTTTTCTGACGATGCTAAAAAATTATTGGCATATTTAACTACCCTGCCCAACAGTTACAGCTGATTGGAGTCAGGATGCTCTTTGAACACAACCAGTGTAATTGTTAAGTTATTCTAACCCAGTGCTGCACACTGGCAACAGGCTCATTGCCCAGTTTGAAAGCAGACTTAAACAACTTATTGGAAATATCACATTGGCACCAACTCAGCTTGTACAATACACGGTTCTATCTGTCCAATAAAATAAACATAGAAAGTACAGCTCAGTCAGCGCAGATAATAAAAATATGTCAGCCCAATACACTCAATTCCATACAAGAATTTTTATTCAACTCTTAAAGTAAAATTAGCAGAATTAATTATTTTTTATAAACTTGCAAAAGCTAGATTCACCTATTAGGAAACTGGTCTTTGATTCTGTAATCTACTAGTTAGATAAGAGACAACAATATTAATAAAGCCAAAACCCTCATCGAAGTATGTCTGAATTTGATAATCTCCTGCATGGTCTGAAACATTTTCAAACAAAATATGTATTTCAAAGAAAGGAGTAATTATAAGGATATTATGTAATATATACTATTGACATCCACCTTGTCATGTCTGAACCAAAATGAATGTCTTTCTGATGTATTAGGTAGAGATTTTGAGACAAACTCAAGCTTTCATAAACTTAAAAGATGGAAGTCTTGAAATTACCTAGTGCTTTTAATACTAAGATAAAAGCTTCCACGAGACCAAGTTGCTCAAAGCCATATTCAACCTGGCTTTGAATCAGCTATGGTGCAAGATCCAACTATCACTCCACACCTTTGATGTGAAAAAGCAACAAAAAGTTGGGCAATAAACCTTTCAAATTATACAGGTATCTATGGCATGAGCTAAAATTTTCCCAACTGTTTAACTATACAAAACTGAGAAGGTGACATGAAACTCCAGATCTATAAACCTAAAAGGCTTGGAGTCAACTGATGCACAAAAGCACATCTCAATGCCCGTGGTAGCAAATGATAATTCTCACTTTTACAACACTTCATGCAGATAATCAGTTAAAAGGTTCAGCATCTCCAAGTTTCCAGCCCTGGAATGCCTGCACCAAGAAAGTTCTGGGAAACCCTAAAGACTTCACACAGAGAGTCTGTACAGAATGCTTTTTCTTCTCTGCCAGACAACCTTCAGTCTTCAAAGCCAGTGTCAGAGAATCCTCTTTTTATATATGCAAATCAAATATAAGAATATTTAAATACACACACACACATATTTTTTAACTGTCACGAGAACTGAAAAGCTTGCTTAATAGGAATCACCCATCTCACTGCTCTGTAGCTGTTTTAAATACTGCAATAATGTCTGTCTGTCATAGAACAATTTCATTTTCACACCACCACTGAACAAGGTGCAGAATAGGACCACATACTGAACTGGAACAACAAGACAAAATCCAGCAAGTTTGTGTCTTAAGCGAGCCCGTTGCAACTGGCACATTTTATGAGGACAGAGTCAAGAGGAAAATTTTTCATAATATATGTGCACAAGGAAGCTAATTAGGACTGCAGAAAGAAACAAAGCACTGGAATTCCCATAGTTTAAGAGATTCATGTTGTAAACTTGTTCTTTTAACTCTTTTGAATGCAACTGCACATATACATATAGCACATAGTCCTATCAAAGGGACAGAAGAGTTTTAAAGAAATCCTTAATCTGTAAAAGTATTTTTACTAAAACAGAAAAAACCCCACAAGATTAAAAGTAGTAAAAAGAGAATGAATTATTTACAATTATGGTAACAGCTTTGAGATTTATGAATGTTTTCTAGAAAGTATTAGTATTTACATGGACAGCAACTGAGCAAACACCAGTTTGCAATGTGCATGCAGAATTCTCATCAAAGAGCAAACGAATTTTTGAATTTAAATGCTTAAAACTGAGCATTAAGCATTACCACAAGCACTTATTCACACTGGAATATCTTTTTAAACTGGGACAACACAGAGAATGGTGGTGATTCTAACAAAAGTTGCTGAGGCAGTTCATGTTCAGTGAGATAAAGCTTTAAAGAGGGATGCCACCAGCAGAAACAACAACAAAACTACAAAAGCAAAAGTACCTCATCTCAGAAGATGTTTATTCTCAGAGCCATTTCAAATCAAATAATAGGAAATGTTCTAGTTGTATATAAATGAAGAAAAATCTAATGAGAATGCTTATTATGTTGAATTACAGCAAAGAATCCCATCCATTTTGGAAATAAAAATTTCTCTTGCATTTTTAATAGCAACTTCCAGATAATCACTTTTTCTGATGTATAGCTCCTAAAAAATTTTGCACTCAAAAGTGGAAGCCCTTTTCCATTACTTCAAATTTTTCTCCATTTCACAATGTGTCATGCCAAGCACTGTTACAATGGGATATATTACATACAAGGAATCAGAATCAAATTCATGCTTCTGATTTAAAAATAGAAATCCCAAAGTCTTTCAACTAAAGACAGGCAAAGATTTCCAGAATTAATAATTCCACATCCTTTGATTTTGGGTGTTGAATTTAAGCCATAGTCCTGCTGAAAAAGCCCCTAAGATTTCTCAATCTGGACACTGAAAATAACTGTTAATTTCTATGACTTTACTTTTTCTTTAATGAAATAAAGCTGCATCACTTTAAAAAGGAACACCTTCCCACTTCTCTATGAAATTCTTGAATTTGCAGTGATGAGGGATTAGCCATTCCATGAGGAATAAAGTCAAACAACCACAATGAGCAATAAAAACTTTCAGATGAAAAAGTTTCACATTTTATAATAATTTAAAGACAGGAAGACAAATATAAACCATAGAAGACCAGTGGACACCAAGCATCCCTGAAAAGTGGAAATGTTACCTGTCAGTCCTTGGTGAGAGTTTTCTTCCCTAATAATACCAACTGGTATACAGGTCCTATTATTTATTAAGGCTTTTATGAAATTATGTTTTCTGCATTAATGTCAATATCTTTTTGCATTTTAACACTAACCTCATTATCACTTATTGTAATGCACATCAGCATATATAGCTGCTAATTCTGTAATGAAAGCTATTACCCTCATCTGGTTACCTTTTCTGCCACAACTCTTGTAAAAGAAGAGTTGATAAAACATTAACTGAAAATATGCATAAGTTAATTTGAATTCTGATATTACATTTTAACATATTTTCCCTTCACATTTACGTGCCTAACACACAACAGTGTTTTTATAACAATACAACTCGAGTAAACATTTACAACACTTTTGAAGCAGCACAGGAGCTTCCCTTCAATATAAAATGCATACACACATCCTCTGCTTCACACAATGAATACACACACTAGGAAAAAACACACAGAGCTTGTGCACTGCTACAGAGCAGCCTGTTTTACTAATCTGACTGAGGCACTCAGAAAATATCTCTGTGTGTCAGTCAGCCATGTCAGAAAGGTTGCTTAGCTCGAGCCTTCATTGCTGTAGCATTACCACCACCCACAGGACAGTCCACTGTTGCTGCAGCTACTAATCCTGATGGACTGATGAACCTGAGTCTCTTGAAAGCACATTTTGCTCCTCAACATAAGTTACACTGACAACAATAGTCAGCATTACTGGAAAAAACCTGCACGGAAAACTGTATGCAAT